ACGCGGAATCAGTTGCCACGCAAGGTAAGCCTTTTTATTTCAGATAAGGAGGTTATATGGCCCTCTTCGATCCTATGAGACCGTTAACAGAAGGTTAAGATTACTGACACATGTTAAATATGCTGTATACTGAGATATAAATATGGAGTTTCACTGTTAATCAAGTCATAATAGCAGTATGAATGCGAGACAACATTTGAAATATTTTTTCTGTAAATTGTGCAAGCTTATCCTGGGAAAATTTATGATTTCGTCTCGTCCTACTATGAAAAACATTCGATAACGACTGCCTCTCCACTCTCTGAGTCTGGTGTTTCACAATTTCTAATGTCATCTTTGCTACACTCACATCTCGATTTTGCTATTGATTTTGCTGTTTCCATATCAACGTTCTCAGCTTCGTATAAGCCAAAGTTGTCACCAAATGCTAATGGAGTTTCGAAAGAGATCAAAGGCGGTGTTTGGTTATTGTTTGACGGAACTGGAGTAATTCTATATTGTTCCAAGCCATCTGCAGTAGTCTTAACCCGACAACCTGTACCTTGTACATAGATTTCTATAACAGTTACATCAAGTTCTGAAAAATTAGACAATGCAATTATATTTCCACTACCCTTAAATTCGATACATACTGACTGACTAGAAGTAACATCTTCACGAATACCAAATACTTTCCCCATAGTATCTTGATGCATCCCACCTTTGCTTACCACACGAACTGTATATTCCTTAACATAACTTACCGGGACTACCTGAACCTTTATATACCAAGCCCGATACATATTGCCAGTTAAGGGAAACCACGCGAGATGGCGATTTTCTGTACATGACATCACATTTTCACAAACAGAATATTCAAATAGTGAAATTTCATTTTGATAAAAGGCATAATGCGGATCTGTATCACTTGCACTGAGACACTCAGTATCACTTTGATATAAAGGACCATTAGACCTGAGAGGTTCAACTTCTGTTTCAATGACTCTAGATCTAGTTGCTTCAATGGTATCAGCTAACTGTTTCACCTTTACGGTCACGCCCGGAACGTTTTGATTTGACCCACCCAGTCTCGGAGAAGCACTGAATGCCCCATTTTGATCTTCAAAGAATAGGTATGCATGAAAGTTAGACGGACGACAAACAGTAAGTATGCAATCATCCTTTGAACCTATTCCGAAATTGCTGCTGCTACTACCAGTAAGAACCCGGCCATCAATCATCCCTGATTCTGAAATATCTTTGGAAATCACAGATGGTTCGAATGTATTCAACCATTCTAACGGTTCCCTTAAATTAGAATCAGCATATGCTTTGATTTTGACAAAACAGAAATTAAGCGAATCATCATCAAAATTGAACCAATAACGATCCGTTATGCTGGTATTACCAACGAAAAAATCGGTCGATTGCTGGCTTTGAGATCGCTTTTTTCTTGATGAAGAGACCCGCTCGAGCGTGCTCTCGTATTCCCACCTTCCGGATGACGGATTGAGGGACCAAAGCTTAACAGTGGTGCTGTTTTCAAGTTCTTTCCCGATAACATCAGCACGTATAGCCATGTTGACATCTCCTTTTATATTAAGTTCTTTACCAGAGGCATCATTGAATTCCATATGGAACATTCCAAATGTTTCGAGTGAACCAACATCACCATTGTTATCAACGAATGTCAAATCACCTACCATTGTGTGCACACTGACAATATCTTGAGGAGAAATAAAATTAATTGCTGCCTTAACAACACCATTGTGTTGACTACCATCGGGTTTATAAAAGGCATTGTCCGGAATGACTACCTCCGCACTGCGTAAAACTGCTGTTATCCGGGAAAATACGACGTTAATGGAAAACCAGTATTAGCGACTAATTCAATAAAATGCAAAGATATAACAGATCCGGATCGATGATTAATGCAAACGTCTTATTAAGCCGTATTTTGTCAGTATTAGAAGATGCAAATATATGTTTCATCCTAATTTTTGCATCAGGCAATAACATGTTAATATCCTAACATAATTTTGCATCGAGCAATGCAATTTAATGCAACAGGGAAGTTGTTATGCGGGAAAATGCAAGTTATATGGAAACCCGGAATTAAAGGATTATACGCGTTAATGCAAAAACAAACAAATCTGCATAGTTGGGCGATGCAAATGTCTCATTATACCGTGTTGGTCAGCATTATAAGATACAGATATATTTTACACATTTTTGGGCAACAGCCGGTTACATATTTATTATATACAAATTATTATATATTATTATAAACAAATACATTGCTGGATCCGATAACAACATGTTAAGTCAGCTTTTGATCGGACAACCGAGCATTAACTCACACGGACATCGTGATCATGTTGTTTTAATTATATTGCAAGAAGATAACTACACCCAGTGCTTGAATGATGATCTCTGTACCAATCCAACGGTTTTAAGGGTACCTATCCAAAATTCCCATCTTGAATAACAGCGGATATATATGTGTCTTCCAATCATATGCAAGAATATGCTAGATAATTATTGCACAAGGCAGGGAAATCTTATATTGCATAACTCCGCAATGGGAACCCTGATGATCCAAGAAAATACGGGTTTCATGTTATACAGAATCACATAATAGTTCTATCATATTTTCCATTTATTTTTTGTTTTGTACAATAAAGGTCTTATGTAATTTTTGGATATCTTTCTATTGTGAGAAACGTGCTTTTTAAGATCGCCATATATCTGCATTATTTAATCCGTGGATCTTAATTCTTATATATTTTTGTATAGCTAGATGATAAAATGCTATTACCCGTATATTTTTGGATTAGTGAATGCAATGAAAATGTATTCCGGATAATGTTATATTTGTAGATCCAAGAAATTTTGTTTATTGTTTATTTTTTGCATCACTCAATGCAAGAAAGATGTATTCCCGTATAAACCTGGATTGGGCAAATCATCAAAATAATTGTTTTGCATAATTAATGTGTTGTAAGATCCAGGATCATTATT